GAGAGAAGGGTGAGATCGATAATCAAATCTTAGATTCAGGAGGAACAATGCGGTTTTTGTCTTGGCCGTGGAACACTGGACCAGCTTTATACCCTTGCGAGGGTACTGGAGGGGACCTGGGAGTTTGCCTATCCAGTCTGCATGTGTTTTGTTGACTTGGAAAAGGCTTACCACCGGGTTCCCCCAAGTGCTCTGTGGCGAGTGCTTAGGAAATGTGGGGTTCGGGGTCCACTATTGTGGGTGATTCGGTCCCTGTATGAACAGAGCAGAAGCTTGGTCCGCATTGCCAGTAATAAGTCGGACACGTTCCCAGTGTGGGTTGGGCTCTGCCAGGGCTGCCCTTTGTCATCGGTCCTGTTTATAATATTTATGGACAGGATTTCTAGAGACAGCCAGGATGTTGAGGGTGTCCAGTTTGGTGGCCTCAGGATTGCCTCACTGCTTTTTGCGGACGATGTCCTGTTGGATTCATCTACTAGTGACCTCCAACGTACTCTGGGGTGGTTCGCAGCCGAGTGAGAAGCGCCGGGAATGAGGATTAGCACCTCCAAGTCCGAGATTTGGTTCTCAGCCGGAAACGGGTAGATTGCCCTCTTCAGGTCAGGGAGGAGGTGCTGCCTCAAGTGGAGGAGTTCAAGTATCTCAGGGTCTCGTTCACGAGTGAGGGTAGGTGAGATCGAGAGCTGGACAGACGATTCGGAGCGGTGTCTGCAGTTTTGCAAGCGCTTAACCGGTTTGTCATGGCTAAGAAAGAACGGAGCCGGAAAGCAAAGCTCTATATCTATTGGTCCATCTTCGTCCCTAACCTCACCTATGGTCATGAGCAATGGGTAGTGACCGAAAGAATGAGGTTGTGAATACAGGCGGCCAAAATGAGGTTTCTCCGCAGGGTGTCTGGGCTCTCCCTTAGAGATATAGTGAGAAGTTCAGATATCCGAGAGAGTCTGAGTAAAACCGGTGCTTCTCCACGTCGAAAGGAGCCAGTTGAGGTGGTTTGGACATCTGGGGCTGATGCCTCCTGAGCTGCTACCCAGAGAGGATTTTCATGCATGTCCTACAGGGAGGAGGCCCCGGGGCAGACCCATGAAACGCTGGAGGGATTATATCTCTCTGTTGGCCTGGGAACGCCTCGGGATCCCCCCCCCCTCCCCAAAGAGCTGGTAGAGGTAGCTGAGGAGAGGGAGCTGCTACCCCCACGACCCGAACCCCGGACAAGCAGAAGCTAATGGATGGATGGATAGATGGATGAAAATTATTTAAACAGTATTGATTCTGTCCCAAAATGTTTAATCCATATAAGCAGTTGATCTTTATAACTGTGATCACTTTAAGCAGTTTCCACTGTATTTGAAGTATTGCTAGTACTGAAACCGATTTGTGGTATTACCTTTGGTAGGTGAAACAGTTTTTCGGTAGTGTTTACATTTGACTTTTTTTTTTTTTTTGGAGTCGTCCTCTAAAGCATTAAAGCCACAATGAGTCCAAATGATGAATATGGCATTTTTCTTTGGTACAAGCTGTTCGAGTTGCTCAGTCGGCTTGATGTTTCAGTTCTCCTCCATGTTGTTGCCTTGTCGTAGACTGCATGTGGTCACGTGACAGCATACATGTTTTTAAAAGGGACAGTACATGAACACACACTGGGGAAAGAATAAAAAAAAAAAACAAAAAGGAAGTAATCAAAATGGGCAAGATTTTGTCGGTTAGAGGTTCTGAATGTCGATTTTGATTAATTTTCGATTGATTGTCCAGACCTGGGCTTTTTTGCGAGAGCAGAAGTGTAAGCGGTCCATGTTAAGTTCTTTATGATGTCAGCACCAAGAAATTGGAATTTAGTCACTCATTCCACTTCTGTTGCATTTATATCCAAAGGGGTATGTACTTCCTCATTTTTCTGGAAGTCAATGATTATTTCTTTTGTCTTGTTCACGTTCTGGGTTAGGACATTCTCAGAGTACCAAACTGTTAGTGTATCCACTTGGTGTCTGTAGGATGACTCTTTGTCTTTAGTAATTAGGCCAGTGACGGCTGTATCATCTGCACAATTGATGGAGTTATCTGGATACAAGGGAATGCAGTCCTGAGTATAAAGGATGGAGAGGATAGGTCTGATTGCTGAGTCGTGTGGAGCATCAGTATTCAGCGAAATTGTGGAAGAACTTAGATCACCCATTTTCTTGACTGTTAGTCAAGAAATCCAGAATCCAGTTGTACAGAGAAGTTTTCAGATCTAGGGTGTGGAGTTTGGCTATCATTGAGTGATAGTACTAAATTCAGAGCTGAAGTCCATAAATTCTTCTCTTCCATGCATGTCTTTTTTATCGAAGTGGGTGAGCAGAAGTTGGAGATCAGTGATGATTGTGTCCTCTGTGAATCTGTTGGAATGATATGCAAACTGATGCAGATCTAGGGTGTCAGGAATACAGTTCCTGATGTGCTGATGGACCAGTCGCTCAAAACACTTCATTATCACAGAGGTTAGAGTTATTGCTCAGCAGTCGTTTAGGCACATTGCTGTGAATTTTTTGGGAACTAACACAATTGGTTCATTGCAGACTCTTGGCATTCTTTGGAGGCTGCTGGGATTGCTGCAGGCAGAGGCTGAAATATACTGGGCTGGGAGTAAGGGATGGGGTCATAGTAAGAGTTCATTATGTGGCCAGTCAGGCAAGTACCGTTCTCCTGGCGGCCGCCAAACCCAGACTCTTACGTTGGATTGCCAGAAAGAGAAACGTGATTAGTCACTCCAGAGAACACATCTCCATGCTCTAGAGTCCAGTGGTGGCGTGTTTTATGCCACTGCATCTGCCCCTTTCATTGCACTTGGATGCAGCTGCTCGGCCATAGAAACCTATTCCATGAAGTTCTCTACGCACTGTTCTTGAGCTAATCTGAAGACCACACGAAGTTTGGAGGTCTGTAGCTATTGACGCTGCTGACAGTTGGCAACTTTTGCACACTGTGCGCCTCAGCATGTGTTGTCCCCGGTCTGTGATTTTACATGGCCTACCACTTTGTGGCTCAGTTGCTGTTGTTTCCAATTGCCTCCATTTTGTCATAATACCTCTAACAGTTGAACATGGAATATTTAGTAGGGAGGAAATTTCATGAATGGATTTATTGCACAGGTGGCATCCTATCACAGTACCACACGTGATTCCACTGAGCTCCTGATAGCGACCCATCCTTTCGCAAATGTTTGTAGAAGCATTCTGCATGCCTAGGTGATTGATTTTATACACCTGTGGCTATGGAAGTGATTGGAACACCTGAATTTAATTATTTGGAGGGGTGTCCCAATACTTTTGGCAATATAGTTATGTGTTGAGTAGCCCAGGAGTGTTTAAACTAGGGATTGGGGGGCAGGGAGGTTAGTAAGAATATGTATGGGAAGATGGAAGGCCCCAAATTATAATGAAAATGGGCACTGTAAAAGGCCTATCCTCTGCTGTCTGTACGTAAATGCTAGGAGTATTATAAACAAAATTCATGATTTTGAGACTTTTATTTCATGAGACTCTTATGACATTATCGGAATAACAGAAACATGGCTGAGTGTCAATGATGGAGAAGAATATAATATCAGTGGTTACATGTTGCCTATCCGGTCCCTATGGAACAAGAAGGGAGGTATTGCAGTATATGTAAAAGACAACTTGCAGGCAAGGGAACTCACTGATAACAATAAAACTACAGAAGCTATATGGGTAAAGCTAGATGCTAAAAACTGAAATGGCCTAATTCAGGAGTCAGGAGGAAAAAGGCTCTGTTCCACAAATGGAAAATAACTAATGATGTCGGAATAAAGCAGGAGTATCTAAGGCTACAGGTTTAGTTAAAAAAACATTTATGTTTCCTAAGAGGAATGTCGAATGGAAGATTGCATTGGAGACTAAGGATGACATTAAAAGTTTCTTCCAGTATTTTAACTCCAAAAACACTAATCTGCAAGATAGTAAGGGTCTTATAATTGAAAATTAAATTTATATAGTTAATGAGTTTAATGATTGTTTTGCATTCACTGTAGAGGATACTACATACTGACTCATTACTAATCCAGCGTCGTCTATGACTAATCTTTATATAACTGAAGCTGATGTGCCTCAAAGCTTAGCTAAGCCCAAAATAAATATATTGCAGGGCCCTGATGACATCTTACCTATAGTTTTAAAAGACAAGAGGGAGATCATTTGCCGGCCTTTAACCTTTCTATTTCAGAAATCCTTATCTGTTGGTGTGGTACCTTCTGACTGGAAACATGCTAATATAACACCCATATTCAAAAAAGGGGATAGAAGTAATCCATCAAACTATAGGCCAATTAGTTTAACTTGCATTTTTGTAAATTATTTATTGTTGGTTATTGAGAAATCCAAAGTATTTTTTATTTATGCTTATAGGCTGTAGTGGTGTAATATGGTCTGATTATCTGAAGTGGGTACAGAGTAGGACTCTGTAGCCATCTTTGATAGTAGTATATACATGGTCGAGAGTATTGTCTCTTGTGGGGTACGAAAAATGTTGAAATCGGCAGTTACAAAAAAAATTGCGATATGCTTGCATTCAATTCAATTCAATCTTATTTATATAGCGCATTATCACAACATTACATTGTCTCAATGCGCTTTACATTTCTGCCTCGTAAGGACCCCCCATTGAGTAAGCCAAAGGCAATGGTGGCAAGGAAAAACTCCCTAAGAGGAAGAAACCTTGGGAGGAACCAGACCCAAAGGGGGAGCCCATCCTCCAGGGGCCGGCAGATGATTCAAACAAACAAGATGATATGACTAAGCTAATACAGGGGTTGAAATATAAGTCTCAATGCAGTAGCCGACCGGTGCAGGCACGGGGTGCTTGATGCACGATGGCAGGATTAATAGAGGCACAGCCGCAGCGAAGGATGGCGAGGCATCGCGTTGAGCCAAGGGCAGGCAGGTTGGAGGGTAGTTGCCGGAGGTGGAGGTAGTTGTCTTGCAGGCAGTAGAGGCATAAATTCTTCAATGACATTGTGCTCCAAGGAGCACACCCCAGAAGGGGTGAGGGAGGAAGTAAGAAAAATTGTGTATTAGCCAGAGTTGAGGAAACCATAGGCAGTGCAAGCAAAATGATCGAGTGCAATATTCGTCTAGGCTCCGGCAGATCTGGGTATAGCAGCATGAGAAAGAGGGAGAGACAGGTGGGAACACAGGCATGGGGACTCCCTGAACATCAGCACTCTAGTGTAAAGCTAGAGTGACAGCACTGACGCATCAGTTTATCCAAAGACAATGACACCAATCCCCACCCAGCTCTTCACCTCATACTGTTAAATAAATTGTCATTTATATGCTGATGGATTTCCTGCAACATATTAGCAGTAGCATCAAGGGGTATATAAATGCTGCTATTACACTGGTGAAGTCTCTAAGCAGATAAAATGAATGGCAATTTATATATACACAAATGGAGCACAGTTTGGTGAGGCTTCTGGCTGCTGCACGCATCCGCGATGTCATTTTGGAAAAACTGGTAAAACTTGACTAGTCATTCTTCCAGAAATGCCCCACCCCACTTTTGTATGTTCTAGCTGTCGTAAATCACATGATCTCTTCACCCAGATGATTATTGCATAATTTTGACATAAATGTAAGTACATTGGCTTTGATCCCTTTATATGAAATAACAAGTGTGATCTTTGAACTACATATGTTTTTGTAGCTTCAGTTGTGTAGACTTCATACATTTATGGACAGTGCATATTTTTATGTCTGAGTAACACGAAGGACTGACGAGCAGTAGCGATACATCTGAGGAATACGTTTGATAAGACAACATATTTTCACCACTGTAACTTTCCCTCCAGGGAGAAGCTGGTGACCCTCCATCTGATTCCATCAATCACTTGCTGTCCCCTGCACCACCAAGCTTAGAAAACATTTCCTCCCTGGATATCACCAATGAAGAGGATCTCCCCACTGACCCCAGCAACTCTTCAGATACACAGGAAGAAAGTGAGTATATATTACCAAGATATATTACCCACATCTGGCTTGAAATAAAGAAACCATTCACTGATAACACATGGTGTGGCCCTCTGACTTGTATACACTGACCACCCATAACTTTAAAACCACATCGATTATCTCATTATGGTATCTGTCAAGGGTGCCATTATGCAGTTAGGTCCATATATATTTGGACACTGACACTAGTTTTACTGTTTTACCTGTTTACTGAAATATATTCCAATTGAAGTTATACAATGGGCATGGACATAGTGCAGACTCTCAGATTTAATTTTAGGGTATCCACATTCAAATTGGATGAAGGGTTTAGGAGTTTCAGCTCGTTAACATGTGCCACCCTGTTTTTAAAGGGGCCAAAAGAAATTGGACAATTCACTTAAAAGCTATTTCATGGACAGGTGTGGGCAATTCCTTCGTTCTTTCATTATCAATTAAGCAGATAAAAGGCCTGGAGTTGATTTGAGGTGTCTTGTTTGCATTTGGAAGATTGAGGTGTGAACATACAACATGCGATCAAAGGAACTCAGTATGCAGGTGAAACAGGCCATCCTTAGGCTGCGAAAACAGAAAAAAATAATTAGAGAAATTGCCACAACATTAGAAGTGGCAAAATCCACAGTTTGGTACATCCTGAGAAAGAAAAAAAGCATTGGTGAACTCAGCAATGCAAAAAGGCCTGGACGTCCACGGACGACAACAGTGGTGGATGATCGCAGAATCATTTCCATAGTGAAGAGAAACCCCTTCGTAACAGCCAATCAAGTGAACAACACTCTCCAGGAGGTAGGCGTATCAATATCCAAGTCTACCATAAAGGGAAGACTGCATGAAAGCAAATACAGAGGCCTCTCTGCAAGATGCAAGCCACTCATAAGCCTTAAGAATAGAAAGGCTAGATTAGACTTTGCAAAAAACATCATAAAAAGCCAGCACAGTTCTGGAACGGCATTCTTTTAACAGATGAAACCAAGATCAACCTGTATCAGAATGATGGAAAGAAAAAAGTATGGAGAAGGGCTGGAACAGCTTATGATCCAAAGAACACTGCGTCATCTGTAAAACATGATGGAGGCAGTGTGATGGCTTGGGTGTGCATGGCTGCCAGTGGCATAGGGTCTTTAGTGTTTCTTGATGATGTGACGCAGGATGGAAGCAGCCGAATAAATGCTGAGGTGTTCAGAGACATCATGTCTGCTCAAACCAGCCAAATGCAGCCAAATTGATTGGGTGGCGTTTCATAATATTGATGGGCAATGACCCAAAACACACCGCAAAAGCAACCCAGGACTTTATTAAAGCAAAGAAGTGGAATATTCTCGAATGGCCAAGTCAGTCACCTGATCTCAACGCCATTGAGCATGCATTTCACTTGCTGAAGACTAAACTACAGACAGAAAGACCCTCAAACAAACAGGAACTGAAAGCTGCTGCAGTAAAGGCAGCACATTAAAAAGGAGGAAACCCAGCGTCTGGTCATGTCGCTGAGTTCAAGACTTCAGGCCGTTATTACCTGGAAAGGGTTTTCAACTAAGTATTAGAATTGAACATTTTATTTGCAGTTATATTAATTTGTCAAATTACTTATGAGCCCCTGAAAGGAGGGGATTGTGTAGAAAAATTACTTTAGTTCCCCACATTTTTATGCAATGTTTTTGTTCTACCCACTGAAATAAAGCTGAAAGTCTGCACTTCAGCTGCATCTGACTTGTTTCTTTTAAAATTTATTGTGGTAATGTACAGAACTTAAAAATTGAAAAACTTTGTCTCTGTCCAAATATTTATGCTCCTGGCTGACTTCAGGAAGTGACTTCACTTGTCTAATATACAATGTGTTGGAAGCAGGAAAGATGGGCAAGCCTAAGGATCTGAGCGACTTTAACAAGGACCTAATTGTGATGGCTAGATGACTGGACTGGTTGCCGTTCACGTACAGCTTACTCTACAAATGGCAAGTTGAGGGAGACGTAAAAGATCATTTCCCCATGGGGATCAATCTCCTGCACTGCTGAGCATGCATATGCGGCATGTGCAAAGTACACGTATTCAGAATGGAGACCTGCAGGCAGAACATACATGTTTGTGTCTCATTCGGGATGGAGACATGCATATGAAACGTGCAGTTTATCTTAAATATTACTTCATTTGGCATTGTAAGTGTGAAGTACTCATTCAAAGGTAAACGTGACCCATACTTGTAAAACTGAACATCAGCACTCCATAGTATTTATGTTTCTCATTGGGTCGAACTTGCTATACTTTGAAGTTAATCTGTGTAGCTGTATAAATTTAAAAACTACTGGCATTTATTTTTATTTTAACATTATTGTTATTTCAATCTTTTGACTCCGTTTTTTAGTAGTGTGTGTCTTATCTCAGTCTCAGTGTATCTTATCTACTGTCCAAGAAATCTTGATGAAGCCCTTGGAATATGTAACAATGAACATGTTATTAACTAGTGCTGCAGTATCCAAATCTCGCTCCCAGGGTCGCACCAGCCTGAAGAATTTTATTCAAACCTTCAACCTAAATACATACTGTAGCAGATGAGCAATAATACAGTAATAAATGTGTCCAGCTTTTTATGGGGGTATTGTAATGAAAATCTGACTGATGTGCCTCCAGGGCTGAAAAACATGAATTTTATGCAATAAACCAATAGAAATGTTAAGTGTGGGTTTTTAACCCATAAATTAAAATCAAGTATGTTAAAAGCTCAAACATTCATTTTATTGTGAAATCTCCATTAAATCTCTTTCCAATTTTTAAAACTTTTTATAATTATCTAAAAAAAAATTATTTCATATATTTCTTCTGATGTCCAAAATAAATTCACCCAAGGTTGTGAAGGATTAAACCTTTGACCAATTGCATTGAAATTTATACCGTCAGTTTTAATATGTTATTTGTGTAGACGCCATTTAAACAATGGTAAATTAAATAAATCTCTTACGTTCACCAACATTTACGTACCACCTACCTAAACATTGTTGCAGGCCAAGTACACCCCTTCATGGCAGGGGTATTCCTTGATGACAGTGGCCTCTTTCAGCAGGATAATGCAGCGTGCCACACTACAAAAATTGTTCAGGAATGGTTTGAAGAATATGAAGAAGAGTTCAAGGTGTTGACTTGGTTTCCAAATCTCAATCCAATTGAGCATCTGTGGGATGTACTGGAAGTATAAGTTAAATCCATGGAGGCCCCACCTCACAACTTAAAGCAGGGTTTCTCAACCCGGTCCTCGGGGACCACCAGACGGTCCATGTTTTTGCTCTCTCCCAATTCCCTGCCAATTGGGAGAGAGCAAAAACGTGGACCGTCTGGTGGTCCCCGAGGACTGGGTTGAGAAACCTTGACTTAAAGGACTTAAAGAATCTGCAGCTAATGTCTTGGTGCCAGTTCTATTGAAAACACTTCAGAAGTCTTGTGCAGTCGATGCTTCAACGGTCAGAGCTGCTTGAGTGGGACAAAAGGGACCTATACAATATTAGACAGGCAGTATTAAAGTTAAGGCTGGTCACCGTGATCCGTGTATAAGCAATAGTGTTGATAATGTGTCAGCTTTTACTGAGTCCGCTTTTCATTGGGAGCTATTGATTACTTTTGTCTGTTTGCCAGTGGGGCTCAATTTCCAAATGATTTGAAATAGCAAAATTGTCTTAGTCCTGTAAGGTGCTGCCACCTCTGTCCATTTTCTCTTATCCAGTACAGGAGATTCTAGAGCTAGTTGTAGAAAGCAGAGGGCACACAGTGGACAGGCTGCCATTCTATCACAGGACACGCTTGCATACTCAAATACACACCAAGGGAAATTTAGCGCCAGCAGTTCACATTTTGACCTGTTAACACACTGAGAATGGCATGTGTACTTGCAGGATTTGCACTCCTAACCCTCCAAAATATAACAACTGCTTATTGACAGTTGATATTGCTGCAGCTTGAGTGTTTCCAGGTTTTACCATCCATTCTGCTTTTGACGATGGTCCTGTGTCTGTGGCCGTTTCCCTACTGCAGGTGAGGTCGAGTCCTTCTGCTCCGATTTAAGTGGCCGGCTGCATATCAACACAGTGATCCGCATGGGCGTGGACAAGCTGCATGACTTGCTCTTCTCTGCAGACACACATTTCATTCAGCACCTTTTCTCCCAGCGCCAGTTTACAGGTACATGCCATCTGCTATGCTTTCATTTACTCCTCCTCCTCCACCACAATTATGTCTCCTCTATTCTCTCTCATATAAATCACATCGCTAGAACAGACTGACATTAAGGAGGTATTATTAATTGTGTGTATGTCTTGCCACACTAATTGACAGTAATTAATTGAATTCCATTCAACATATTTCTATTGTTCCTGTGACAGAAATAGCTGCATCATGTGAGCCGTGTGGTTGTGATCTGCAAGGTTTATAAAGCTCCTGCTTATGATCTCTGTGTGCCACTCAGACCTCAGAGTGCAGCAATGGCAGCAGGATAGCAGCAGTGGGAATGCAAGCCGTGTGCTGAATTATACTATTGCCATTAATAACCCCCTTGGGCCAAAGACTGCCCGGGTTATGGAGACGCAGGTCAGTGCTCATGCTTCTGTTGCTCTCGCACACAATAATAGTAATAATGTTGACACTATCGGAGCAGTTTCTTTATGTAGAGCATAATGGATTTAAATGTGGTCAGTGATTTTAAATGCAAATTTAAAGCGTGGTAAAATGAGGTTGACAAAAAAGTAATTGTAGTTCTTAGCAGTTTCATTCATACAGTTGGCTTGCTGTCCTCAGACCCAGTACAAGAGCAGCATCCAGGGAGAATGCTATGTGGTGGACTCAGAAGTCATAACCTCAGGTATCCCATACCAGGATTATTTCTTCACTGTACACAGATACTGCCTAACGTCCATCAACCGGCACAAGAGTCGCCTCAGGTACTTTCCTCCTCGGTGCCCATGTCTGGGGGGAGGTACTGATGAAGGGCCCACTACATGCTTCTTCGTTTCTCTCGCCCTCTGTACAGGGTGTCCTCAGATATCTGCTACAGGAAGCAGCCCTGGAGCTTGGTTAAAGCCCTGATAGAGAAAAACACCTGGAGTGGCATTGAAGAGTACTACAGGCACATGGGTGAGAGCACAACTCACTGTAAGCACAGCCCTGTCAGACACTGGATTTCACTAGTTCTTCTCCTTTATTTAATTTAATTTTTATTTTATTTTGGTCATACCAGAGACTGATTTGACATCTGCTCCTAGTGCCCATATACTGCCGTCTTTGTGTGTCTGTACATATGTTTGTGTGTGTTTGTGTGTGTGTGCACGCACGCATACATTCATGCTTATATGTTTTTTACCTCTCTCTCTCAATCCAACACTCGGCCAGAGATGGAGGTAAGCAAGCTAGAGACGCTGCTCCAATCCAAAGTGTCTGTGATAGCATCGGGGGAGGCCAGTGTCACCGAGGCAGCCAAGGGCCCCCAAGGCCTGCGTAGACGCAAGCGCAACTGCTCCCGGCGGACAGGGGAGAGAGAAGCAGCAGACGGCAGTCTTGGGGAGCGGGGGGAGAGGAGCTCTGCAGAAGAGAAGGATAAGAGGGAGAAAGGTAATGTTAATGCCACGGGTGAAGCGCGAGCGGGCGTAAGCGTTACTGTATGTGCACTGTCATACACAGCCAGTGAATTGTGATCTTTACAAGTTAGCATATAAACCCGTTGCAGTGTTCACTTCTTTTTCATTTGACCTCTTTCTTTAAGCAGCACATTTTTTGAAGCTGAGAGAACATTCAAGAGGAGGAAGTGCCAATACTATTACACTGCTCATCGTCAGCTTCATGTGAGTTTCCTCTTGTGCTGGTTCTGTCTGAGTCTCCAGCCACTGTGTGACTATGTGAATGGATGGATCCCTGCTGATGGTGAGAGGCAGCAGAATGGAGTCTGTAACTGGTAGATTGACCAGTGCATTGCAGTCAGGTACTCTGATTGTATGGTCATATTAAATTCTGTGGTTTTATTTGAGTGGTAACTATTGGTGGGTGATGTAAGGAATAATTGACGACGGGCCGTTGAATTATTAGAAAAATAATGCACACCCGAGGTGGTGATGCGGCCACGACGCGA